GCGGTGTGGTCCCCACCTTGCTTCCTGGGTCGGCATGGTGGCCCCGCTGTTGCATGACACACCCTTGACCTCTTCCCCATCACCCCCAAATGTGTCTTGGTGTTCACGCCTCTGGATTATCTGCATCGATGGTAGTCAGCTTCTCTGAGCCTGGCTCAGCTTCTTCACCGCTGACCATGCAGTAGAGGCTGGCCTAGGGCTGCACGAGATGGAGGAGGACAAGTGCACAGAGCACCTGGCTCTGCTTCTGGCCCTTGTAGGCCTACGTTGCAAGGCAGCCATGACTCATGGGTGTTAAGGGGCACCGTTACAGTGTGTGCCCCTAAGCAGGAAACATCACTGATATCTCATTCTAATGCGCTATGGACCGTGAGCTAGGAAGAGAGAGATTTTCGACATACTAACACGTGATCCAAAACGGATGTTCTGGAAGCCACTCCCACTGGCCTGGGATGCCTGGGGACCTTCATCTGATAGGTTATATCCAGGGGATGTTTCCTTTGCACACTTGGATTGTCTCTTAGGTGACCTTGGCCACCTCAGGGGCTGGAATCAGGGATTGGCAGGGCTAGTGAGTCATCTAAGAAGCTCTTGAGAAGGAAACCTTCTTAGGTAAGAGCTCAAACATCTGAGAAACATGAACACGCTGGGTTCGTGAGGAGTTGAGTTTCTTGGACTCGCCGTGGTAGGTGGCTGGAAGGTCACAGCCGTGACCTTCTCTCCAAAGTCTTTGGGACCAGGACCTGCCTCCATTCTCTCCAACGAGCTCTTTGATTGGTCAGAAATGTGGGGCTCAGATGCTCCTTCAACCCCAATGACTTCAGGAACTTACGGCCAGCGAACAGAGCTTTCTGGATGTTGTGAGGCCCCAACCTTCTGGAGTCGTCTGGGTGCAGCTGTTGGCTTTCATATTAGCTTGCCCCACGTGTCCCTGTTCACCGGGAGGGGCCTTCTCCCCAGGGGCCTTCCTTGCTGCCCACATGGGTAACGTGACCAGATGTCCCGCTTTTTGGCGGGACAGTCCTGATTTTTAACAATTCCCAAAATCGGGACTTTTTTTAAAACACCGCGGGACGCGGGACAATTTGTTAAAAATGGGGGCCAGTAGGAAGCAGCTATCCCTGAGGAAGAGCATTGAGGTTCTGAGAGAAGTCGGGGAGACTGCTTTTTTTTGGGGGGGGGGGGCATGTGGTTTGTTTCAGGAAATCTGTAGCATCGCCCCAGTCTTCAGAAAGACAAAGAAAAGTGCTGTGACATGGATGTTGGCTCTGTCCCTGGTCCCTCTCCCCGCCCCCCCCCCCCCCACCATCGGTCCCATTCCACTCTGACAGATGTCGGCTCCCACACAACTGCTCACCCATCACTTCAGGATGTCACTGTCGCAAGCACACAAGCATCTATATTTATCACTTCATCTTGGGGACAAGAACACAACGCTTGTTATCGAGCAAGACACTGAGATGATGACCACAAGACCGCCGGTCTTTGCAAATCTAATAAAGACAGTATTTGCTAATGCATTCTAAGAGCACAGTTTATAGCTGGCAAAACATAAGTAGGACTCGCCCCCCCCCCTCCCCGAGAGATATAACTTAATTTTTTAGCGTGGGATTCATTTCAGCATCGTTCTCAACGCTTCTCAGACGAAACCCATTAGGGATCGATCATTCTCTCTCTACCACACGGAACAGCGATAACTTTGTCATTCCTTCCACTTTGGTTTTTGTTATTATCTGGTCGTTGATTTCCCTGTCCACTGACTTAACCTCAGTGTCAGATCTGCTTGGACATCTAAGTGACAACACCATTGAGGTTGCATTTCTTTGTCAGAAACTCTTAGAATTCAGATCCGGGCTGAGAATACTCAAGGGGGTGGGAGGGTAGGGTGAATGGCTTAGTCTGAGTCTACTTTAAAAGGAGGAAAGGACATCACAGACAGGGCATTTCTCTGTGGACGATGGATGCTTTGGTAAGGGGACTGGCCCTGGAGCTCTGTCCCCACAGGCAGGCGCACAGCGTGGCATCTGGGCGTTGGAAATTGAGGAGAGGGAAGCAGGGAATGGAATATTCCAGAAGTCGGACTTGGGCAGTACCTGGTCAGAAGCAGAGCCGCGTTCTGGCTGTCACCTCAGGCTGGGAAGCCTCACTGTCACCCTTAGACATATCTGTTAAAAATCATGTCGATGTGAAGAATCACTCAGTCATTCATTTGTCCCTCTTCATGGGATCAAACTGTTGAGGGTATGAATGACTTGCGCCATCTCTTAGCTATACTGCAGATTACTTCAATGCCGGGACTGTTTCTGTCTCACGGTTTATATGAACCACAGGCCCCCATTGTGAATGAGTGAGTGCCTGGATGCTTCTAGAAAGTGTCTCTTCTCAAAGGCTGTTAACATTACAGATTTCCCCCGAGGGTTTTAAAAGCATTTCCCCTCTACCCAAAACCTAGTTCACCTGAGAAAATGTATCCAGACCACAGGGCCACTTCAATCACAGATGGTTGAAATGGATTTTTTAAAAAACATTTTTAAAAATAGATCTTTATGGATTTCAGAGAGGAAGGTAGAGAGTTAGAAACATCGATGAGAGAGAAACATCGATCAGCTGCCTCCTGCACACCTCCTACTGGGGATGTGCCCGCAACCAAGATACATGCCATTGACCGGAATCAAACCTGGGACCCTTCAATCCGCAGACCGACGCTCTATCCACTGAGCCAAACAGGTTAGGGCAAAAATATTATAGATGTGTTTTTTTTTTAAACCAAGAATTGCAATAATCACAATTCACACCAATTAAATCTCCATCCAATTCATGGTTTTAACTTCTGAGGCCCTGGACTAGGCCCAGAACAGTCCTATCCTTTGGCCTGGCCTAAAACAGCAACAAACAAACAAGGGAAAAAAATAACAACAAGGAGATGCTTTCATGGGACAGCTTTATGGCAGAGAGAAAGGAAACCACACATACATACGTGAGCATTGCATGACGCCGGTTAGCTTGCCTTGTTCCTGCACGGCCCTCCTCAGCCCTGGGGGACCTGGGACCGCTTCATGGGATTCTGATCCCATGAATAGAAGGTTCCCGCAATCCCCACTGGCCTGAAGAAGGTGCTGTTTTCCAGCAAAAGGAGTGAAATCCCTCCAGAACTGCAGAGGGAAGAGAAAGCACAGGCTGCACCCTACCCTGCCCATTTGCTGACACTGAGCTTGTCCTGGAGAACAGCTTTCCGCATCTCTTCCCAGAGATGAGGCAGGCGCAAGAAGGCTTGGTCTGACTTGCTAATCTTGGGACAAAGCCTCGGTGCCGGTGCCCAGCGGAGCTTCTTGTCTTTGCGGGGCTGGTTATCTGCGGGGATTTTCTCCCCCGAGGGGCTTAGGGGAAGCCTCTAAAAATAAGGTGACCAGCCGAAACTGGTTTGACTCAGTGGATAGAGCATCGGCCTAGGGACTGAAGGGTCCCAGGTTCGATTCCGGTCAAGGGCATGTGCCTTGGTTTCGGGCACACCCCCAGTAGGGGGTGTGCAAGAGGTGGCTGATGGATGGATCTTTCTCATCAACGTTTCTAACTCTCTATCCCTCTCTCTGTTAAAAAAAAAAAAAAAAAAAAAAAAAAAAAAAAATATATATATATATATATATATATATATATATATATATATATATATATAAAATAAATAAGGTGACCAGAAGTCCTGCTTTTGGCGGGACCGTCCGATTTTTGACAAGTTGTCCCGTGGCGTTTTAAAAATGTCCCGATTTTAAAAATTGTTAAAAATCGGGAGGGTCCTGACAAAAGAGGGACGTCTGGTCACCTTATCTACAAATAAACAGCATGGTTGCTTATTGGGGAGAACATGTGCACAGGTGTCGGCTGGCAAGGGCATCTGAGACCATGTGACCGCAGGGCGCTACAGGGGCCTGGGTGTGGGCGCCTCCCTGGCCGGAGGGTCATCCATCCAGGGTCCCAGGTCCCTTAGAGAGGACTCCCCTAAAGGTGGGACCCGCCTAGTGTGCAGACAGGCCGCTGGGGAGCTTGTGAGTTTGTGAACGCTGACGAGGATAAGTTCCAGGCCATATACAAGAGCTAGTTGCTGCTACTTCAAAGGAAGCAAAGTTCCAAATTTCAGGAGCTTTGATAATCACTACGGCCCGGCCGGTGTGGCTCAGTGGTTGAGCATCGACCTATGAACCAGGAGGTCACGGTTCAATTCCCGGTCAGGGCACATGCCCAGGTTGCAGGCTAGATCCCCAGTGGGGGGCATGCAGGAGGCAGCCGATCGATCCATGATTCTCTTTCATCATGGATGTTTCTCTCTCTCTCTTTCCCTCTCCCTTCCTCTTTGACATCAATAAAAATATATTAAAATAAAATAACAACCACGGGAGATATGTTTTATCCCATCCAGGGAGCCCCAAAGGTTTCAACTCTAGCTCAGCATCCCTGGACCAATACACACGTGTCCATTTGACTCATTGGAGAAGGCGTACTCATGTGTGGGTGAGAAATGATGACAGGTGGTTTTAAGGAACCCGAAATCTAGGCCAACCAAATGAGAAACAGGCTTTTATGCTTAATAGGTAGTCTGCCTTTCGTCAAATGAGGTCGAGGCCTTCCCTAGCTGTCTTTAATAGAAGGCGAGGTATTTATTTTAACATCTCGGTATATAAATTGTACATGGTTATTTTAACACGGGAACGTGTTAGGGGGGGACGTCTCGATGTAGGAGTCTGCCTGCTGGGGAAGGGCTGCCGAAAAGTGGGGCCCGGAACCCAGAACCCCCTGTAAGTGTTCAGTGACGCATCCGCCCCCCCTTCCCCCCTTCCCCCATCCGGTCCCGAGGAGCAGGGACCTCGTATTTCCTGGGGGGGGGAGGGGGGAAGCGATCAGAAAGAACGTCCACTGAGTCCCTCTCCCACGTTGAGTCTTTTGTATAGCTCTGTGCCAGGCTGCTCGTCCGTCAAATAGCTAATGACTGTGCTTTTTAAAACTCCTAGCTGTCTGTCCAGTTGTCACAACACCCTCTGGCTCAGCGGGCAGCTTGTGTGCCCGGCAGTCCCAGGTGCTCTGTGGGTACCTTGGTGAGTACACTCCTCTGCTTTATACCTCCTTTCACGTAGTTCGTATCGGTCGGCTTTCTCTCTGGTGTCTGTCTCCTGTGGGGAAAGGGCAGAGGCCTCGTGGACGTGTGAGTCGCAGGCTGGTGGCTGATTGGTTGCAAAAATGCCCCTGAAGGTCGCCGTTGCCCCAAATGTCTCAAAGGAAGCAAAGTTCCAAATTTCAGGATGTGATAACCACCACGGCCCGGCCGGTGTGGCTCAGTGGTTGAGCATCGACCTATGAACCAGGAGGTCACGGTTCGATTCCCAGTCAGGGCACATGCCCGGGGTTGCAGGCTCGATCCCCAATGAGAAACACCCATGGATCGCTTTGACATCCTAGGATGGCGTGGTTGCCCGATGTGATGGGATGGATGGGGGGAGGGGATGTGTATGAGATGCGTGTCCCAGGGTGGGGACAGGGAGCGAGGCCGAGGCTGCACCCAGAACCCACTCTGGGGACATTAGGGGTGCCACCCAGGGTGGGGACAGGGAGCGAGGCCGAGGCTGCACCCAGAGCCCCCTCCCCTGATTTGAGTGAATCAAAATATTGACCGGTCCCCCTCTCCTCCCTGCTGACCCCCATAGAGGAATGACCCATATGAGCAGAATGTCGAGGGTCTCCTTTAGTGTGTGTGTATCTTATTTATATCTTTGTCCTTATCCCTGGCACATAGTAGTTGCTCAATTAATGCAAAGGAGATTTTTTTGTTGTTGTTGTTCTCCCTTTCCTTTGACATTCTGGAGGGAGGCCTGTGGGAGAGGCATGCTGTTGCCCTGGTGTGTGACCCTCGCATTGTCCTTTCTGGGTTGCATGAGAAATGGGTTGTCATGGGTTAAGACTTGGGAGTGTGCCACATGCTCACACCACTTAGTCCTGACCCTCGGAACCAGTGCCACCTGTCAGGCTGGGCTGGGGGGAGTGGGGAGGGGGGCGTCACGGAAGCCAAAGGTCTCCCTCCTTTCTGATTTGGAGCATGAATCGATTCAGCTGGCTTTTACTGGGTGCCTACTTTATGCCGGGCAAGGAGGCCACGGCGAAGATGGGGATTTAGATGTTGCCCCACAGGGAAGGACTCAGTGGCCCGAGGTGACCTTGACCCATGCTTAGAAAGAGAGGAAGTGGACCAGTAATGCTGGCCGTGGCTTCCTTCTGCACGTGTGAGGCTCTGGGAAGGTTTGGATTCTATGGATTCTACATGTGGGCAAAGGCCCCAGATAGGGACAAAAGAAATCAAAAGAAATGTGTTCATTACCCGCCCGGAAGTCTGATTCCCTGGTGTAGCCTGCTTTGCAATTTTATCATGCTTAACTTTGCTTTTTAAGAATCAAGAGAGAAGGTGACTTACTCACGTGGCCTAAGCTAGGATTTCCTAAAACAAAACAAAACAAAACCTCAAAAACCAAACAAAACTGATTCTACTGAGATTATACATTTCCCCCCAGAATGCCTCAGAGTGGCTAGCTAGATGCTGCTACGTGAAAAATAAAAAGTTCTCCTTTGCGAGATAAGTTTTATGTTATAGTCCACCTCTAAATATATGTTTTATTTCACTGTCTGATTAACTAAGGAGTGAACTATCTGACCCCCACTCCCCATCCCCACCCCCCTAAGTAGCTTTCTGGAAAAGGAAAGGGGAGAGAATGAGAGAAGAAAAATGTTTGTTCAACACCACTTGGTCCTTAAGACACAGCCTTCTGGTCCTCCCCCTGTTGGTTGGTCGGTCGGGAAGGACCTAAGTAGCATTGTCCATTTTCTAGGAAACCGGCTTAGAGGTAGAACCTGGTTCTCTCATGGAGCTAGCCAGGGTCAGAGCCCCAATCTGAGGCCAGGTCTGGCCCCTTGCTCTCCCCCACACTGCCCAGACCTCACACTTCTCACTTTATGGCCTTCCTTCTGTGTTCCCTTGGGAATCCTGCCCCTCAATGCTGTCCTTGTCTCACCTATGGCTCTGGATCCATTTCCCTTTCATCTCCTCCCTCAGGAAACACAGGGAGATGCCTCCCAGGGGTGATCTGTGCAGTCTCTCCCCCCAGACACGCCTCCCTTGGGGTAACGCTCAGCCATCACGGGGCTGCGAGCTGCCCTCTTTCTCTGATGAAACCACAGGAGGAACCCACCCTGGGGACATTAGGGGTGCCGCCCAGGGTGGGGACAGGGAGCGAGGCCGAGGCTGCACCCAGAGCCCCCTCCCCCGATCGCTGGGAAAACCCTATAGACCCCTCTCGGCCCTTCCACGCGAGACTGCTGAGCGGTGGGGCCCTGCATTTTGTTTTATTTATTTTATTTTTGTCTCTGTTCTTAGAAATAGTAATTGAGTAAAAATGTAAGTGAGCCCATGCCAAGCGGCAGGCGGCCAGGGTCAGGGTGAGTTTCTCCATGCTGCGTGAGGCCGGCCGTGCCAAGCGGCTCCGGGGCCATCCCTGTCACCTTGCGTGACCCTCTCCTCCGTGCCAAGGAGCCGCTGGGAGCGGCTGGAGGCAGCGCGGGGCTGGGGGCACCTCTTGCTTTTCTCCCTCGCTCCAACCTGGGGGTGGCTGATCACAGCTGTCCTGGCCCCAGGGATGATGGGAGTGGGGGCTCTGTGGCTTCATCAGCCTTCAACACAGGATGGGATTATTCTTTTTTTTTTTTTTTTTTTTAATATATATATAATATATTTTTATTGATTTCTCTGAGGGAAAAAATCTGAAGGAAGGCAGAGGGAGAGGGAGAGAACCATCCATGATGAGATAGAAACATCGATCAGCTGCCTCTTGCACGCCCGCTACTGTGGATGGAGCCCACAGCCCGGGCATGTGCCCTGACCGGGAATCAAACCGTGACCTCCTGGTTCATAGGTCAAGGCTCAATCACCACCAGCTGGGCGGATGCAATTGTTCTTGCTCCTCACAGGCCGTGGTGGCTAGAGCTTGTGGCTCTTGTAATGTCCTTATCCCCTTCCTTCTCCCCCGTCCCCCCCAACTACTGGTTAGGATGAGGTTAGTGGGTCCTGAGAGGTTTTCTAATAAAACATGAAAGTGCAGAAGCAACAGTCTGTCCAGAAATGAATGGATTAAGAGTGAAAGTGATTGCAGGTTTGTTTGGGTGGGTTTTTCTCTCCCCGTGTTTACTGAGCAAGAGGCTCTAAGGAGCTGGGGGAAGATCTAAAGATGGTGTTTCTCAGAGTATCTCCTGAGCCAGCCAGATGGCTCAGTTGGTTGAGTGTTGTCCTCCAGTCAAGGCACATGCCTGGGTTGTACGTTCGACCCTCGAATGGGGCACAGATGGAAGGTAACCTTGATATCTCCCCCTCTTTCTCTCTTTCTCTTTCTCTTTCTCTCTCTCTCTCTCTCTCTCTCTCTCTCTCTCTCTCTCTCTCTCTCTCTCTCTCTCTCTCTCTCTCTCTCTCTCTCTCTCTCTGTCTTCCTCTCCCTGCATGTCCTTAGACAAGGATAAAAAAATAATCCTATATAATAAAGAGCTAATATGCAAATGGTGGCCGGGTCCTCCATTATATATAAATACCTAAGTGACTGTTAGGACCAGCTGGTAGCAATGATGTGTGCTGACCACCAGGAGGTGGGTGCTCAATGCAGGAGCTGCCCCCTGATGGTCAGTGCGCTCCCACAGCCAACCTCCCGCAGCCCCTCCCCCTGGACTGGGTGAGAAGGCCAGGCCGAGGGACCTCACCTGTGCACAAATTCGTCCACCCGGGTCTCTATTAATAATATAAAAAGTGTCTCCCGATGAGTCTTTGGAAGCAGATCTCCTGGCCACTCCCAGACCTGCAGAGAGGTGGGGCTGGGGTGGGCGGAGCCCAGCAATCTGCATATTGAATGGCATTCGGGGTCATTCCTATGTCACTGGAGTTTGTTGCTGCTCTGATTGGGTGGGTCTGTTCACTGCAGTCCCGGCCTAGAGGATTCAGATCCCACGGGGCCTTTTCCATCCGCTGGTCCTGCAAGCGAGGGGCCCTCAATGCATAGCCAAGCCACGTCCCTCCCTGCACTGTCCATTTCCCCAGATGCATACAGATGTGGAGGTAGACTTATGAATCTCACACACCACACCTCTTCACCCTGGAGGGGATGGTGGTGCTTGTGCAAGGAAGTCAGTTAGTCACATGGGGAGAGGGGTGGATGTCTAGGTTGGAAATTTCTCTCAGGAGCAGATTCCCCCACTCAAGGCCCTTCCCCTGGGCAACCGTGGAGGGAGAAGGGGATTTTCAAAACGAATGTGTAATGTGCAAGCGACACCTATTTTATTTTTATAATGTATAAGCCGTTAGCTAAAGTTTCATCCCCTGCTGACCGCTTCATGGCCCGAATCCCATTTGGGGACATTCCATGGGGCGAGGCTCTAGCTAACAGTGGGATGTAAACTCCTCTCTCTTGGCCAAACTCAGCGTCGAGCCCCTGCAGCTTTTGCTTTGGTATTTTGCTCCGCCAGAGGTTTGGGGCAGGTGAAGAGTTAGTGGCTAGAGGACTTTTTAGTCTTTTCTCCTGTTTCCCTGAGACTATCGTGGAAGCATCCAGAACAGCTCTAGCGTGTTTCTGGCCATCGGACGATTAGAGAAATGCCCACGTCTGCGTGGCCTGTCTTGCTAAGCAGCCCTCATGGCTGTTGAAGTCGGAAAAGAATGACGGACGGTGTGAATTCTGCTGCCCAACCAACAAGCCTTCGACGAAAAGAGTCTACATTGACTACGAGTAGAGTCTAAGGTCAAAGTCAAATGTAGGCAGAGCTCCTGGGAATACAGATGTCAAGAGAAGACAGTCCTATGACAGGTTAGCTCATGGAAGAGTATTTATGGCTCGTGAGTCTGCCCTGCCTTAGGCACCCATCTGGGCAGTAGTGATACCATCAGAGATTAAAACAGCACGGAACTTTGCCTTGAGGGGGAAGATAAGACAATTCATTGGAAAGATAAGGGATGGTAGGATTGGAGACCTGTTCTGGGGAGAAAAGTAGAGCACAGGTGGGGATGGGGAAGTGAGTT